CTGGAAATATTTGGATGATGGTTGTATACTTGGGTGAATGGGAATGATGGAGAACAGAATCTAAGCAAACTCACTCATATGAACAGGTAGAGAGGGCGTATGAACATGATGAACCTGATACTTCAATTTTCAAATATATTCCTATCATTCATGATATGATAATTTTGATAATGGCACTATTTCTTATAAAAATTTGCTCAGGTTTGTAGACAACAAATATAATTATTGTAGGCTGACATTTTTTTTGTAGCTACATGTAATTTCAGCAAAGTTATTGCAAGTATAAAGATTATATATGATTTATATTGTTCTGTCTGTGTATCACTAAATGAGGCATACCCTGTTGTTGTTCTAGAGTCTGCACCAATAACGACCCCATCACTGTATTCCACAGCCATAATTGTTGTCTAGAATAAAAATTAAAAACAATCATTATCAACAAAAATAACCAACAGACAATATAGCATAACTGTAACATACACGATACAGAGAAATTACTCCCTCAGTCAGTCACTGAGTCAGTGTCTTCCCTCTCCTCTTGAAAGCTTCTATTATTTGTCATAACGATTGGTATCAAAGTTTACATTAGTAATACTTATTCAAAAAGCAATATTTTACCCCCGTTTCGTGCTCGGCACGAAGCCATTCTGGTGTAGACGACAGATTGTTCATCATCATGGTTTTTGAGAACTTTTTCTTTTCCGAAATTGCTAGTCACGGAGATACTTTTGCACCTTCTAAGCAAGGAGAGTAACATTAAAGGGAAATAACTCGTGATGCGGATTTTCTATTGAATGTTTATATGACTTTTAATGTGACACTTTTTTATGTGACCTAAAACCCTGAGTCAGACGAATTTTTTTTTCAGGAAAATATCAGCATTTCTTCAGATTTATGAAGCTTTATATACAACAAAAGAACCCCCCCCCCACCCCTGATGGTTGATGCTGGACTTTTCAAGTGTAAATGACGCTATTGCCCCCTCCCCTAAATCCTACTGGGACAATATTATATGATTAGTACGTAAATTCATTTTAAGCGCATGGAATCAGTGGCGGATCCGTAAGTTCATGGGGGGGGGGGGGGGTTGAGGCCCAAAGGGCCGAAGGGGGAGGGCATGGGAGGGGGTGTCCCCCTCCCATAGATGGGGGTTTTGTTTTAAATGGTTCTAAATGGTGCATTTTCCAGCATTTTGGGGGTACTTTTTGTAGCTTTTTAAAGATCGATCATCACAATTTTTTAATAAAATGTTTTCAATTTAATTTAACTTTAACACAAGACTTTAGACTTTGCTTAAAAAAATGTTAAATCTGACAATTTTAGGAATGCAAGCAGTTGACTTCAAGTTGTCTTAGTTTACTTTAAATGCACCTACAATTAATTTAGTCCTATGTCAAGCTGACTTCCAAGATACAACTAATGTGCAAAATTTTTAAACACTAAAAAAAATTAAAAATTGAATTATTTTCAGAATCCCTGACTAGTGCTTTTCAACTTACTCGAGTATATACTGTCAATATGATTTGGAATATAAACACACGTGTACAATTAATGAAATTTCAAACTGTCTTAACTGAAGAAAAAAATTACATAAACTGGAGAATCTGTCAAAACTAGAGGGGTTTGCAAAGCCAACCTGGTTTTGTAAAAAAAATTATATTAATTTAATTTTTAAAACGGTAAAAAAAAACGGAATAATAGTTTATTCATAGTTTTAAAAACATGCATTTTATCATCAAAAGAATATTACTGAGCAGCACCGTAACTATGTAGTTTTCTGTTGTTGGTACCTAACTACATTGTACTGTGATCTTGTGACTTCAGTAGATGCACGGACTACCCGATCTCTGAGGCACTCTCTCTGTTGATTACCTGTGTATCGTGTGTGTTCAAGCGGAAAGTGATTTCCTGTTACGTAGTTGTATATTTCACAGTTGTACAAACAAAGGATTTATGTTTATTAGAGTCTTATCAATGCAACAAAATGATAAAATGATACTTGTAAAAAAAAAAAATCAATGAGCGGGGGTGTTTTCCCGAACCCCCCCCCCCCCAAACCCCCCTGAATCCGCCCTTGGGAATGAAAATGTTTTAAATACATCTCATCTCGATTCTCAGGTGAGAAGATCGACCTCTTGTGAACATTTTCAGCTTATTCTCTTGAAACATAGACGGTTTTCCGTACCCCTATTTCAATACCTGTAAGTCTTTGTGCGTCCAGTTTCTACCAACTTTGGCATATACCCGGCCCTGTTAATCAAAACTTCCAAACCATCACGCTGCAACAACGATATACTAGTACATGTACGTGTAACTAGAGGTACTGTGAGCAATGAGCTCACTAAATGATACTCCCGTCTCCCATTATCCCATATGGTTATAATGACAAAGTCCATGTTTTGCTATAGGAGGCTCGAAATATGTGTTGGATCAAAAAGTAAAATAAGAAGTCACAATGGCATTATGTAATTAAAAAATATGTTAATCACTAAACTTTATTCAGTGGTATAGGAAGAGTTGAGGATAAGAGATGGATACCTTTCAACATTATAGAAAGAATGACCGTGTCCATGTTTTTGCTCTGGGAATGTCAAAAAATGAGTTTCGACCAAAAGTAGAATAGGAGGTGCACAATGGCACTATGTAGCTGAGATTCTTTGTAAGTCTCCGGCATTAAGTTTCATTCAGTGGTATAGGAGGAGTTGCGGATATAAGAGATGGGTACCCCAAAACGTAACGGACGGGCGTAAAGACGGATGGATATCCTGATCACTTAATATCCTCCCAATTCAAGCGGGGGAGGGGGGGGGGGGAAATTAAAAAAAAGATCATTGAATAAGAGAATTATACAGGAATTCTTATTGATTTCATAAGATGCATAAAGTGGTTTTTTTTGTTTGTATAGATTTTGATAGTCGGATAGACTTGCAAATGATAAATGGTAAAAAAAAAATGTAAATTCCATTGTAAAGGAGATATCCATGGGCTTATTAATAATGCTCATACACTGTTGATTTGTTCAGTGTACATGGTGATACTAACTAAAGGGGCAAGTACAGGCAAGTAATTAGACCTACATCATGATTTGATATCGAACACTATAGTGTACTATATAGTTAATCTGAGGATCCCTGATCATCCTGTTTCTGTCTTACAGTATCTTATAATTCAGTCTTAGCACCATTTACGGCGTTCTGTTAGCTCTTCAACCTGTTCTTACATATTTATAAGAAACAAAAAAGGACTCACTTTTATACCATCTTATTTGGCTTTACCTTTAGCGTAGTAGATGGAAAACCCATTACCAATAAATCAACACATAGAAAGGATTTGACAAATATATAAAAGAATTTTATTGCACATCGGATACAAAGAATTCAAAGTAAAATGAAAGCAAATAGCAATCTCATAAGAAAATAAAAGGTATACATAAATGAAAAATTAAAACATTAAAACGTTAAATCTATTTAGTATTTTAATAGTCAACATGTATTCAAAACAGAGCAAACATGCATGTAGGTCTCAACTTTATGCATGTTCACAAGTATCATCTAATATGACATTTGAAGTGTGTAATATTTAGATGGAAAGAAATTCTCTTTGACTAGTACCCCTATTACAAAAGTACCGACAGAGGGTTAGGAATCCCAAAATCCCAATCTACTGTTGTCCATAAGTCTTCATATATCCAGACTTGTCTGCCTTTGTATAGGCTGTCCTGTCCTGTTTCCTTCTGTCGAATATAGACGCAGGGCGTGCACCTGTAAAAATGCAAAGTTACTCATTTTATATCCTTTATAGATTATAATTTTTTCTTGAGAAAAACGCAACCCCCCCACCCCCCTCACACACATACACACGGAAGACCTCTTCCAGTTTCTCAATTATTAAAGGTGAAATTACTTCGTTAGATTCCTCATCTCAATGCTTGTGCCTCTTTCTTCAGGACTTTGTAGATTTAAGAGGTCATCAACCTGTTGCTTTTTTTGAGGGGGGGGTAGAAGAAGAAAGTTGTAGGGGTCACTTACCTGTTGCTTCTGCCTGGGGTAGCTCTTTCTCTAGGACTTTGTACGTTTTAGGAGTCACGTCTTGGTACGTTTCTTTTTCCTCCTCGGGCTCTTGTTGGGGAGTTGGTTTTACAGCAACCCCTCCTCTATAAAGAAGATCTCACTGTTTTAGTGAAGTTGATAGCGTTTCAACAAAGATCTCAGTGCTAATATTTTATTAAAGATATTGGTATTTCATCAATGTTGTGAGTCAAGCCTGGTATTTCAACAAAAATCAATGTGTTCAATCTATACTAATAGCCCAAAATGTAGTTAAAATGCAAAATAATAAATGATAGTTAGAAGGATTATTATTTTTATAGAAAGGGGGGGGGGTATACTCTTTGCATCGGAATCCATGCTGTAATGACAATTAATCACTCTAAGCTTTGCAGAATGCACCTTAAAATTAATAACTAATGAGAAAATGATCAGGACCATACCTCTGAACGACCAGATCCACATCATTCCCGGCGCGGATCATCTCGTTTCTGGCCTGCTGGTGCGTGGCGTTCTGCAAGTCAGTCTCGCCGATCCTCAGGATCAAGTCCCCGTTCTGTAAGCCACTCTTCCCTGAGATGCTCTTGGGCTGAACCTGAAAAGTGTTAAAAATAGATTTACAAAATATTTCTTTGATAAGGTTTTTTTAAGTCAGTTATCTCGAGTTTTAATAAGAGGTCCAGGAAGGGGTTTACAGTTAATTTGCTCGATCTTTTATAATGAAAACTAATGTTGAAAAAAAACTATAGTTTCATAAGGTAAAGGCGTTTTGAAAACAATGATATCATTTTAACTCATAAACTGAATTTAAACAGTTTAAAGTGAATTTCGAAGATTGTGATGAATTAAATTCTAAAATTTTGAAGACCGATTTCCCTAGATTTCTCAGGAACAAAGATAAGAGAAAAAATACGTGGCGGATGCGGTTTCTGTAGAAAGCAACTCCGAGTACTAGTGGCTATGTCTAACAGTAAACATGCAGGTAAATTTTCCTATTTCCATTGAACATTCTTAAATTTTTGAATATGACTATATAGGTTTTTTTGATAAACATGGAATTCAATGTATAAATAAATAGAAGCATCAAAAAGTTTATTCAAAATAACGATACTGTAAGATATCAGTTTATTCTGGATTCTTTGGTAAAATTAAAACCGAGTGCTTAGAATATATATTTCTATTTCTTTTCTACTAAAACTGTTGAATTGAAAAAAAAAGAATTTGATTTTTGTTTGATAAATGCATTAATTAACACCATTTATACGGGTCAATACTTCATACATGTATCATTGTTAGTGTGTATAGAATAAAATATGTCAAAAACGAATACAGATCATGATGGTAAGTCTGATGTAATTAGCAATTAACATGTTTATTTGCATGTTATCATGAATGGTAACTGAATATTTCCCACGCCTAAATTATTATATCATACATTGACAAGCGAGTCTCCTAAATGTAACAATGAAACAACTGTCTCTGATAAAGAAATCATTAAATTGTTTTACGTAAAACTTTTCCTGGATTATAGTGGTCTTTGTTTCTAACACGTGTTTCTTGAAATCTTTTTTTCTGAAGTATCAAAACTCTCGATCAGGGGAGATTTATATATAAGTATGAGATGAATGTCAGATGTTGATAGTGGAGATCTGATAGAACTGTGATAAGAAATGCATACTAGTAATAACATCAGCTGCTCTCAGTTGAGGACGGAAAAAATCTGCAAGGAAACATATCAGTGTTTTTCAAATATATTTATCGAACAACAGTGATGTGCAGTGGGTTGACCATGTTTCATTGTACTTACTTAGTATTCTAAGCATGCTAAGACAAATGCTGGAGAAAGGTACCCAAAAATACCCCCGTTTCAGTTTAATTTGGGGAAAAGGATAAAGTCAGAATAGGTGAATTATTAATTGCTATCTGTTCAAAAATTTAAAATAAATGACGGAATATAAATTCATTAAGCAAATAAAATACATCTACATGTAATAGTGTTCCAGAATCTAAAAAATTCTGAAACGGAACGAAAGATAACTCTCAATCAAACTAGAATCGAGACAAAAATGGCTTGAAATTTGATACCGAGTTTTCTTCTGTTATGAATTAAGACGTACTGGAATATTTTAATTGTAACCCTTCAGATATCTTTATACCGATAGCTGTATAACTGAAAAAAGTTCACCTTTACTGTAAATATGTTCTTTACACATTAATTCTTCCTTTACATAATTCGCTATACTACATTTGAGATTATACAACATATTTTTGTATATATGTGTGAAGGCTTCGAAATGATTTTCATTTAAGGTAAATACGATTGTTCCTCGGAATTTTGCTTGAGTCATGGTATGTTAATCATACAATGTACCTTACACGAATTTGTTTATATATTGTCCTTCACAGGTGAGTCAGTCTTACCTGGGCGACATGGATGGGGCATCCTACATCCGACCCTCCCTGAAGTTTGAACCCCCACGGCTGGCTCGTATCAAACCTCCTTAAAGCAATAGGAACTATCTGACCACCAGACATTTTGTTTACGATAGTTCTTGGCAACTCTTTACTAACTTTCTCCAGTGAACGTTACTTGTGCCTACGGAAAGTTTCTATGGTAACTTAAGTTGTTGTTAAAGAAAATTAGTGTCTGTCTCTACAATGTGAATACCTTACTCCCCGCCGACAACACATGTCTGATTCAGCAAGAGGAGGATTAACTAATGCGATTTATGTTTACAAATTATAGACTGTGCTGTAGCAATTATTGGAAATAAATGAAGCATGAAAATATGCAGGTCATTCACGCACAACATCATAAAGCAATTTTTTTTTATTTCATCAAAAAGTGTAACTATTTAAAGGCGGAAAGACCCATTGCCAAGAGAGATTCATTGCTAAATGAATGTTAGAGTGCCCTAAGATATTTCATATGTGCCTCTGTAATGAAGAATTTTCCACGGATGCAAAAATGTCCAATGATTCATTTTTCAACGTTAAAAATTGAACCGAGAGTGGCTTTTCAACATTGAACACTGAGATAAAAAGTCATGAATTATACCCATGTACACACATCTGCTAGCATATTGATCAGTGTCAGAAATTTATTTTTTATAGAAAAATAATATGATGGGACTCAATTCACTGAAATATGCAAACTGATAGGATCCCTAACATGAAACATATGGAGATAACAAACAGCATTCATGATCAAAAGTCCATAAAACCACGCGAAATAGGAGCAGAGCAAACACTGACCTACAAAACATCAGAGGTGGGATCAGGCGCCACGGAGGAGTGCGCATCCCCTACCAACCGGTCACAGCCGTCGTGTGCTCCTTGTCATGATAGGGAAATAACGGAAAAATCCGTCGTCAATTCAGTTTTTCAATTATGGACTAACATTTAGTATGAAAAAAAAGTCAGTCAGCATTTGACTCAATGATAAATTGTATTAGCTGACAAGGTCATTGTATCGACCATAGAACTCACGATGACTTTGAACGAGACTTCTGATATTCTTGTTTCATCAACTTGTTTGTCAATAATTTACCTTGTTTTAGAAATTGTTCATAGGTAGAGCATGCTCTTGCGTATCTGAATCAACTGACGTATATAAACTCTGTATGCAGGTGATGAAGGTATGTTGCTGCACAAGTAAGGGAAGTTGACGATAGAAAAGTCAGTCATCACGTTTATCATAGAGCTTGGTTGTTAGATTACCATTAACGTCTTTTCAAGTAAAATATCATAATATAAAACAGATGTGCCAGACTCTGAGGTATCTTTTATCTCAAGCTCACCAGGATATATCTTATTGACATAAGAATGGAAATTACCATAATTGTTATAACTAATTTGATAAATAGTCGTCGATATACAATGTATCTAAATGTCGAGTTGAAGGCCAGAGCGAGTGTTTTCTATTTTTCACACATAAGATTTTGCACAAACATTTCTTATTGTTTTCAAACAATTGTTCTCCAAAGATTGGTTCCATACATTGATTTCAGGCACATAGCATCGTTTTTGAAAGGGGGCGGGGGGGGGGGGCCGGAGCGTAATTAGAGAGATTTGTTTTTTATACTTACCAGTTAAAGTTGACCAAACTCGATAATCCTATTTCAAGAGGGTGTGTGTGTTAGTGGCCAATTTTGTTCAAGACCAACATTCCTTTCACTTCCAAATTTTATAGCATAAAATACTTCATTTCCACGATATCACTATACTGTTATTCTATACTGTGGTAAGAAGTTGGAGGGGGGGGGTGAACAAACCATTCAATGTACATTCTCCATAGAAGAGGTATTGTTGACCCCCCCCCCCCCCCCCCCCCTTGTTGCTACGAGCCTGGATTTAGCTCACGGGGCAGCTGAAGTCGGGATATAGAATGCAAATTTAATTAATTAAAACAAATAGGAAATGCATGTGACCAAATTTGTCAATCACGGAAATACAGGGTCAATTAAACATAATCCTGATAGAATGTTTTTCTTTAATTTGTTAATAGTTCAGAAATAAAAATGTCCAACATTACTTTTTTAATTTACACAGGGATGTATATACTCATTTTCAATATTAACTGTAAGACATTAAACAACACACATGTACAATCAATTTATATTAACTGTACAGCCTTATGACCCCCTTCCAAAGTACTAGTACTCTTACAATTAAGAGACAGACACAGCTAGAACAATCAAACAGTGTCTTCCAACAGGCCCTCACTGGGATCATAGGACATTCATCATTCTATGATGGAACATTTATCTACTTTTATCATCATATATTTTACAGGGATCCAGGAGGAACCAAAAAAGGGACAATGCTTCCACTGAATGTGCCATTCATTTACATGTACCAGTATAGATCTGTTACTGAGACATATCCAATAATTCTTGTACTCGTGAAGAGTGTGGCAACTTCCAAGAATTGATGCTGGGACTCATTTTAAATCAGGTACAGGATAAATTTTTGGGCTGCACTTTTCTTTACTTCAATATTTCAAACTTACTAGTTCAGTATCAAGTTCACAAAAGCTCAC